TCTATCCCTAAGTTTTGGCTACTAGGTTAAACATGTTTATTTAAAGTGCAACCATATGAAAATAACACTTGCATATGCACAAGGATTCAGAACTATTAACCAAAAAATGAAAATATTATTTATGTTGGATAATGAGACTGGATATTTTACATTACTTTCCTCAAGTGTTCTTCAATGTTACTATTTAACACACTAGGAAAAAAAAAAGGCCACTCATATTTTTGGCAATATCTATAAAACTGGACTAAATAAGTTAGTAAGCAAGTTATAAAATAATTTCCAAAAGTACTTTCCATGGCACATTAATTTTATGCCTATTTCAATACTAAGTATAACGTACAATTTAAAAGGTTATTAGTCCAGTATACAGTATTCTAAACCATCCACTCAATTTCCTCTTGATAAGAAGTTTTACATTGTTAAAATAATTTAAGATGACTCTTAAAGATGACTCTTAAACAAAATTCTAGGCTGGCCATTATTTTGTTTAAGACTGAAGATAGGGCCCCAAGCCTCTCTGGCTTCTGAGATCTTAGTTGAGAAGTCTACAATTAGCCTGATGGATTTTCCTTTGTAAGTTACCTGATGTTCTTACCTTACAGCTTGCCAGAGTTCCTCCTTCATGTTAACTTTGGCTAGTCTGATGACTATTTGTCATGGTGATTGCCTCTTTGTGATGATTCTCTCAGGTGCTCTTTGAGCTTCAGGTATCTATCTAACTTTCTAGCAAGACTAGGGACGTTTTCCTCAATTATTTCCTAAAACAGGTTTTCCAACCCTGTGTTTTCTTCCTCAGCCTCAGGGATGCCTATAATTCTTATGTTTGTCCTCTTAACATAATCCCATTTCTGGTAGGCTTTGTTTCTTCCTATTAATTCTCTGTTCTTTCACTGACTTGTTTAATTCAAAGGTGTTGTCTTCAAGCTCTGAGATTCTTTCTTCTGCCTGGTCTACTCTATTCTTAAGAGTTTCCACTGTGTTTGTATTTCCTTGAATGAATTTTTCATTTCCAGAGGTTTTATTTGATTTTTTTTAATAATTCAATTTCTTTAGTGAATTTTTTCATGCATTTTCTAAATTTTTGGGTGTAGTGTCTTTGTGTTGGTTTTCCATTTTCTCTTGTATTTTGTTGAGCTTACTTATAATCCATATTTGAAATTCTTTATCTGTCATTTTGATATTCTGATTGGGTTGGTTTCCCCTTTTTGAGACCAGCGTGAACAAGAATGAGACCCCATCTCTACAAAAAAATTAAAAAATTAGCTGGGCATGGCAGTGCATGCCTGTAGTCACAGCTACTCGGGAGGCTGAGGCAGGAATATCACTTGAGCCCAGGAATTTGAGGTTGCAGTGAGCTATAATGATGCCACTGCACTCTAGCCTAGTCACAGAGTGAGACTCTGTTCTCCACCCCCCCAAAAAATTACTAGTCTGATCATTATCTCGCTTTTGACATAAATAAAAAGGTGATTTTTATGAACATCCAAAAAAAGATTCCTAGTTCAATACTGCTCCCTTTTGTCAGAATAGGTACATATATATACAAACATATACACATATATGGGTATGTGTATATTTATGGGGGCTGAAGGTAGGAGGGGTCGATGTGTTTTGTAATTCTTTTGTTTCAGTAAGTTTTTTTGTTGTTTTTTTTAAGATACAGGGTCTTGCTCTGTCATCCAGGCTGGAGTGCAGTGGTGTGATCATGGCTCACTGCAGCCTCAAAGTGGTAGGCTCAAGCCTTGCTGATTTTATTTTTAATTTTTCTGTAGAGGAAGGGTGGTCTCACTATGTTGTTGCCAAGGCTGGTCTTGAACTCCTGGCCTCAAGCAGTCCTCCTGCCTTAACCTCCCAAAGTGCTGAGATTACAGGTGTGAACCACCATGCCCAGCTTCAAATTATTTTTAAATAAGAAATAAACACCAATTTTAGATCTTTTTCTTTTTTAAAGAAATAACCTACTATAGTTAAACTTGATTTTATAATGCTCAACCTACAACCACCTCCCCCCCAGCTAACCTCTATTTGAATTTGAGGCTTATCATTTTCTCACGTTTTTGTGTTTATACTACCGTATGTATGCATCCTAAAAAAGTATATGTAGTATGGTTTCACATAGTTTTAACCCTTTTCACTCGCTTGCTTTTTTCTCATTATCCACTTGACATCCAAGTGCAAAGGGTTAAACTTTCTGGAAAGGAGTAATCATGCATATCAGTAACAGACTGTGAAATTAAAATCTCTCATATCTAATTAATAATCTAATTATGGTAGAATCTGAGATGATATCCTACAGCTTACAGTTTTGTGGTCACTAGAAGCCTTTTCTGTCCAAGTGGAAATAATATCCACCACAAGCTAAAACAAAAGAAATTGTATTTAGAGTTATAAAAAAGAAGTATGGCATGTGAGTCATACTTTAAAAAGCAGCAGAAGAAATAAACTAGTAGAAAGAATCCACTTTCTTTGCTATTTTTTTCTTTATTATGATGACACAAGAGTATGACAGGCATGATTTTCCCAACTTAGGCTCTGGTAAAGTTGATTTATCCATCTATTCATGTTTTAGCTTTGTTTTTGTCAAGATAGGGGCAAAAATCAAATTAAGATCCATTGTTTTTATTTATTTTTTTTCAGTATATTATGGGGGTACAAATGTTAAGGTTATGTATATTGCCCTTGCCCACCCCCATCCCTCGATACAGAAACTAGAAACATTACCAGGAAAATGAAATTTTAAAGAGACATGCAAAATGCAAACACCAATTTGTTGTTTTCTGATTCTAAATACAAAATTAACCCAGTTCTGTATTCATCTTGTCATAGGGTGTCCATGGACCACATTTTCAGCAGCACTGGTGTAGGCTGCCTTCTTTAACTCATTTTTTTGCTGTATCTCTGAGGTTCTTTCTGAGATTATTGTCCTGCTTGCCTGTGGAATTTAGAATTTCCTTTAGTGGATGTGCTGGTGGAAAACTTTTTGTTTCATTTGTCTGAAGTATCTTTATTTTACTTGGATTCTTGTAAGAAATTTTTGGTGACTATAGAATGGTTTTTCTTTTTTTATTTCAAAGTATTATGGGGGTACAAATATTTTTGGTTATATTGACTACTTTTATAACGCTTGAGTCATGCTTATAAGTGTGCCCATCACTGAGACAGTGTTCATAGTACCTGTTAGATAGGTTTTCTCCCATCCCCTTCTCCCTTCGCTTGATTTCTGTTAAGTTTTACTTCTCTCTATGCACACATGTGCTCATCAATTAGTTCCAATTTAAGAATGAGTACACATCTGGTGTTTGTTTTTCCATTCTTTAGATATTTCACTTAGGATAATGGTCTCCAGTTCTGTCCAAAATTGTTGCAAAAGCCATCAAGTCATCCTTTTTTATGGCTAAGTAGTATTCCATGGTATACATATACTACATTATTAATTCACTCATGAATTGATGGGCACTTGTATTGATTCCACATCTTTGTAAATATGAATTGTGCTGCAATAAACATTTGAGTGTAGGTGTCTTTTTGATAAAATGACTTCTTTTCCTTTGGGTAAATACACAGTAGTAGGATTGCTGGATCAAATGGTAGGTCTACTTTTAGTTCGTTGAGGTATCTCTATACCATTTTCCATAGATGTTATACTAATTTGCAGGACCGCCAAGAGTACACAAGTGTTCCTTTCTCTCTGTACCCACACTAGCATATATCATTTTTGGACTTTTTAATAAAAGCCATTCTAACAGGGCTAAGGGTGATATCTCACTGTGGTTTTAATTTGCATTTCCCTGATGATTTGTGATGTTGAGCATTTTTTTCATATGTTTCTTGGCCACTTGTCTATCTTCTTTTGGAAAGCTTCTGTTCATGTCTTTTACCCACTTTTTGATGGGGTTGTTTGATTTTTTTCTTGCTGATTTGCTTGAGTTCTTTGTAGATTGTGGTTACAGAATTATTTTTCTTCAGTACCTTAAAAATACCTTTCACCATCTTTTTGAGAAGTCACCTATTTATTATTGTTAAGGGCTAAATGAATGTATCTTTATTTAAGGTAATATTATTGATTAACCTAAATATCTTCTTGTATTTTTCTCTTACAGGGAATACAGTGAGCAACCTTGTATATTTTATATAAGAATGTAAGTTGCAAAAGGTTAGATGGTATCCTTTCCAAAAAGTTTAAAACTATGCAAAACCACACTAACTATATATTTAAGGATACATACATATGTAGTATAAACACAAAAAAATGTGAGAAAATGATAAACATCAAATTCAGAATAGAGGTTAGCTGAGGGTGGGGATGCTAGGAGGTCTAGGGGGATAAAATCAAGTTTATCTATAGTAGTTTATTTTCTTTAAAAAAAAAAAATCTGAAATAAATATTATAAACTGTTAAGACCTGACAAAGATGGGTGGTAAGAACTGTGGGTGTGTTTGTTATATTATCTCTGTTCTGTTCTGTATGCTTGAAATATTTTGTAACTTCTAAAAAAATGCAGTTCAATTTATTAGCAAGCTTTGTGGAAGTTTTTTTTGTTGTTGGTGGTGGTTTGTTTTGTTTTGTGAGACAGGGTTTAGTTCTGTTACCCAGGCTAGAATGGAATGTAGTGGCATGATCACAGTTCACTGCACCCTCTAACTCCAGGTTCAAGTGATCCTCCTGCCTCGGCCTCCCAAGTAGCTAGGATTACAGTTATGCACCACCACACAAGGCTAATTTTTAAAATTTTTGTAGAGACAGGACCTCGTGTTACCTAAGCTGGTCTCAAACTCCTGGCCTCAGGCATTCTTCCCATCTCAGTCTTCCAAAGTGCTGGGATTATAGATGTGAACTACAGTGCCTGGCCAGTTTGTGGAGTTATTACTAAGAAGTTTAAGAATATGTTCAAGTTGTGTAATAATGAAGACAAAATTGAGAACTGCTTTTAGAAATGAATGAGGAAAACAGCCCGTTTGAATACTGTACATCATTGTTTCAAATGAAATGTTATACATACCTGTGAGTGCTAAATAAGAAGCAGTGTACCGTTTTTCCAGACCATCTCTAACACTCTGAATTGCACCAAAAATTGGAGGTATGATCATAATCAGGTTACTCACTGTATTCCCTGAAAGAGAAAAATACAAGAAGATATTTAGGTTAATAAATAACAATACTTTAAATAAAGATACATTCATTTGGCCTTGAACAACAATAATAGGTGACTTCTCAGAAATATTGTGGAAAGGTATTTTCAAGATGCTGAAGAATAATAATTCCGTAGTCATCAAAAATTTCTTATAAGAATACAAGTAAAATAAAGATACTTTCAGACAAATGAAACTGAAAATTTTCCACCAGCACACCCACTAAAGGAAATTCTAAATTGCGAAGGCAAGCAGGAAAAGGATTTCAGAAAGAACCTCAGAAAGGCAGGGCGCGATGGCTCACGCCTGTAATCCTAGCACTCTGGGAGGCTGAGGCAGGAGGATCGCTCAAGGTCAGTAGTTCAAAACCAGCATGAGCAAGAGTGAGACCCCGTCTCTACTAAAAATAGAAAGAAATTAATTGGAAAACTAAAAATATATAGAAAAAATTAGCCATATATGGTGACGCATGCCTGTAGTCCCGGCCACTCGGGAGGCTGAGGCAGAAGGATTATTCGAGCCCAGGAGTTTGAGGTTGCTGTGAGAGCTAGGCTGACATCATGGCCTCTATTGTGAGAGAGGGAAGGTTTGGATAGGGATGACTTGTGCGATTAGAGAGTGAGAGATGGAGTTTTTGAGTCTGATGTGATTTTTTTGATATAGTTTTGATTTATATGAGTGAGAGAGAGAGAGAGAAAGAGAAAGAGAGAAGAGAAATAAAGAGAGGAGAGAGAGAGAGAGAGAAAGAAAGAAGAAAGAAAAGAGAAAGAAAGAAAGAAAGAAAGAAGAAAGAAAGAAAGAAAGAAAGAGAAAGAGAAGAAAGAAAGAAAGAAAGAAAGAGAAGAGAAGACAAGCAGAAAGAAAGAAGAGAGAGAGAGCGAGAGCGAGCAAAAAATGAGTTAAAGAGCAGCCTACACCAATGCTTCTGAAAGAGTGTGTCATGACACCGTATGACAAGTAAATATACAGAGCTGGGTTAATTTTGTATGTAGAATCAGAAAAAACAAATTGGGTATTGCATTTTGCATGTCTCTTTAAAATTTCATTTTCCTGGTAATGTTTATAGTAAACTTGAAAGCAATGGATCTTAATTTGATTTTCGCTCCTCTTTTACAAAAACAAAGGCTCAAACATAAAGTAGCAAAGAATAGTAAACTCCAGCTACAGAAATAATTAGGTAAAATGGAGGGAAATGACTAAATAGTATTTTATAATATGTATCTCTGATAGGATAAGTGGTATATTTGCCAAATTCCAAATGCATAATGTTTTAACATAGGTGCATAATATCAAAGATATCATTGAACTGAGTAGAACAAAACATTTTTCAAACAGGTCAAGAGGTTCATGAAAATAACCTACAATCATATTCTGTCTTCCAGTAATCAGCTGGGAGAATTAATTAATCAAAACAAGGCAGTTAACCGATGAGAAAGGATGACATGGGATCTAGAAATAGCGGAGCTGCAAGCACAGGAGTGAGAGAGTATGAAGAAAAGTTCCCAAGACTATAGATGCATCATACTAAAATCCAGAGAGAGCGTACCCATTCAAATAGGAGCGAGGAGAACTAAAACTGTAGGAAAGAAATTTCCAAGATAAAGAAAATAGAATGAGGATAGGTGACAGGCATATATTTAGAAGTTATAAAATTTAGAAAAAGAATGTTTGTAGGCATTGCAGAAGTATTAGAAAACTGTGCTATAGTGTTATCAACCAGTCCTTGTACTAAACATTAAGGTTATTTCAATTCTTACTATGTATATGCAATACTTGATTGTGATAACCAGTATATATTTTGTGTCTTTGTTTTGTTTAAACACAATTGTACTGTACATTGAAAATAGATTCCAAAGTGAGATTCTTTAGTCAAAGAATAAATTATTTATTAACCCAGAAAAGTATAAAATGAAAACATGGATGCATGTCCTTTTCTACATATGAGTATGGGCATCATTGTATTATGCTTAGGACCATTGTATTCTTTCCTTATATGATATATTTGCATTTTTTTTTGCATTCCGCTTTGTTCTTCGTCATTATAACTGTTCCTCTTTAAGGATCCTCTTGCTAAAAAGGGATTTGCATGTTATAGATGTAAACTCTTTTGACCGTCTTATGATGTATTTTGCTATAGTCAAATTTGTGTGCTTTTATATGCTAGCCTGAATTTATATATCTTTTATAGCTTCTAGGCATTTTAGTCATCGGTTTTAGAAAGCCTTCGCCCACTTCAATGCCGTTAAGAGGAATTACCCAGATTTTTTTGTCCATTTATGTAGTTCACTTTTTTTTTTTGTGTGCGGGCGTGAGACAGGATCTTCTGCTTCGATAGTCTGGAGTGCCATGGCATGATCATAGTTCACGGCAACCTTAAACTCCTGGGCTCAAGCAATCCTCCTGCCTCAGCCTCCTGAGTAGATAGACTACAGACACACACCACCATACCTGGCTAATTTTTTTTTTTTTCTTGAAGAGATGAGGTCTTGCTATGTTGCCCAGGCTAGTCTTGAACTCCTGGGCTTAAGTTATCCTCCCACCTCAGCCTCCCAAAGTGCTAAGATTATAGACATTAGCCACCATGCCCAACCCTGGTATCACTTTTTAAACAATTTAAATTTAATCTCATTTGGAGTTTTTACAGTGTGAATCTCTCTTCAACTTTATCTTTTTTCCAATGGCTAGCATGATGTAATTATTAACCACAAGGAATAACAAAAAAGTCTACATAAAAAGAAATGTTACCCCAGAGTACGCTATTAAGCCTGGCAGGGGACATTATTTACATAGCCATATTGATATTATTACTGTTACATCCTAATTACTTATTTAATTAAAAAAATTATGCTCTGATTTATCAAGAAAATGTAGGGAAAGGGAATGGTATAAGAAAGCAAATCCCCAACAACTATAACTGGAAGACAACAGACAGTATCTTCAATTTACAGATCCAGAAAATAGCACTATAAGCAAGTTATTTGGAAATCTGGAACCAAATGCTAGAAAAAAATAACTAAGCAGTAAAAAGTTACTGCTGGACTTCTGCTTCCACACAAGATGAAGAAATAGGTACCAGATTTACTCTCCCAGCTCCAATAAGAATGAGAGTGAGAGAGAGTGAGAACAAGAGCGAGAGACAAAATATATGAAACAATGGTTTTGAAGACAATAGACATCTGCAATGAAAGCAATGGTCCCCAAGAAAACAAGAAACAAATGACCCCTATGATTGCTCCAGCTTACTGCCTGGAGTATTCAGGAACATCTCAGGCCACAGAATAGGGAGGGAGTACCCCGGGGAAGCCTGGTAGACTCTATGAGTTGAGGAAACAGAGCTTAGAGTTCAGGAAGACCCAGGTGACAAGATTTCACAGGCGAGAGTATATGAGAGAGAGGTAGAGAGAAAGAACCCTGGAAATCTATAAAGGGACCCTTACTATTCAGCAAAAGACTGATCAGCATCTGCATATGAGGAAACTACTCAAAGCCAGGGAGGAACCATGTGAAAAAATTAGAGGGAATAGTACTTGGTAATCTCACATGACCAGAAACAGTACCTTTTCCCACAAGCCAGAATAGTAAAATTCATATTTCACTAGGCATTGGATAAAGTAATCAAGATGACCTTGCCTCAGTAATAGGGGGAAAAACTAGTCCTAGACTGAGCCCTGTTCCAGACGTAGCTAACAAATCATAAAAGCAAAAAGGATCAAACTATTTCCAAGTAACTTAATTAAATCCCAGAACAAAATTCAAGACTATTTATGGTAATAAAAAATTATCCAACACTTAACCCTTTGCACTCGCTTGCTTTTTTCTCATTATCCACTCGACATTATCCACACTCAACATCCGAGTGCAAAGGTTTAACAAGATAAAAAGGACAATGTCTGGTTCCAATCAAAGATTACCAGGCATACAAAGAAGCAAAAAACATGACCCACGAGGAAAATAATCAATGGAAACCAATCTAGAACTGACACAGATGTTAGAATAAGCAGTAATGAACTAAAACAGTTTACATAAAAACCTTGAGAATGCAAACTAATCTATAGTGACAGAAAGCAGATCAATAGTGGTTGGGGGAGTGATGGGAGGGGATTAGGGGACAGTGCAATCTTATTTGCTTCTCACATCAACCTTGTGAAATATTATTGTCCGCATTACATAAACAGTAAAAGTAGGCTAAGAGATTATATAATTTAACCAAGTTCTCACAATAAGCAAATGGTGGTGCCAAGACTTTATTCCGGGTCGATCTGTCTTTATAGCCGACGTTCTTACCACTAGATTCACTAGCATAGTATTCACACAAGGAGGGTACTTATTAATATTTTAAAAATTATATCAGAGTATTCTATTCAGAATATATTAAGTGAATTCCAAATTGTACAAAAAACAAAGTAATTTGCCTAGGTGAAGTGTGAAAATCTAAGGTGGGGAGCCAGACAGATTGAGAGTTATGAATCTAAAATGCAGTTAATTAACAGCTTTAAATAAACCTGTAGGAGATGTTAAATATTTTACTAACCAGGAGTGGTAGGATTCGAACTAATGAAAATCTTTACTGATGACTGAGATAAAGGAATCAAAACATGCCAAAATGTACAGATAATATTAAATTTGGCTGATATGTCAATAGTATGGAAGTTAGGAGTACATTTCAAATGACCTGGAGGCAGAGGGCATAGAGGAGGGTCCTACAAACTACATGAAACTCAATGAAAGACAATGCAAAGGTTTATAAATTAGAATGAGGAATAGCAAAACACAAATATAGGCTGTGTGAGAGAGAACAAGGCTAACCCTGATAGAAAGTTCCCAAAACAGAAACATGACAAAACTATTTCTCTAGGTAGGGGGAAATCTCTGTATAGTACCTCAAATGTATCTGTGAGGAAGATCACAAAATACTACCTCAAAACATGGAAAAGAGGAAAAAATGGAAAGAGCTGGATAGTAGTCATTCTACTTCTCTCTGCTTTAGTTCCACTTCTCTTTAGAATGTCTGTCTTATTTGTGGCACCCTACTTTAAACAAAATAGATATTAAAGCATTAGGAGAAGAGACTAAAATAAAAGATTTACTTAATAAATACAACATATCATATGATATCTGCAAGATTATAAAGTTAAAGGTGAATGGGGTTATGACTCTAAAGTATCAGAATTAAAATCAATGAAGGTGTAGAGAAGCAAATCTCCATTCAACACAGAGCAAAACATTCTAAAATTAAAGCTGTCCAAAAATGTAACAAGATGCCTTATTAAACTACAAGCTTTTGGGAATCCGGGAAAGTTTCCTATTCATACTTTTATCCCTAACACTTGGTACATTACCAAGGACAGGTACTAAGGAAAGTCTGGTAAAATGAACAAATGCATGCATCATGCATGTTTGCTTAAACCTGAGTGTAGTGGTTTCTCCTTTGTTCTCTGTTATTATTAATAAAATGAATGTGTTTCTTTCTTCTTTTTTTTTTAATCGTGCTATAGAATTACCATTACATTGTATCAGGGGTTTAATCAGAGCCCTAGCTCTGACGGTGACTGTTCCAGAACAATAGGTTAGGAGACCCTGAAGATTAAGTCTGTTTGGCAAAGAAGTATTCATTATTTTTTCTTTTTAGTTAATTAATTAATTTTTTTATTTCGGCATATGATGGGGGTACAGATTTTAAGGTTTCAATAAATGCCCTTTCCCCCCTCCCCCCATAAGTCTGAGTCTCCAGCATGAAGGTAAGTATGAATGTGTTTCTTATTTTTTCGATTTAAAAATGGTTATAGTACATGGCAGATTATTTATTTTAGAATGACTTCATTTTTTTAAAAAATGACACATTATAAAAAAATTTAAGCAATTTATAAAAGTATAAGAAAAATTAAATAGTTAAATATTCCAAGACCCAGAAATTATCATCATTGATATTTGCTAAGCTTGCCATATACAGAGAGAAATGAATGGATGAATTAAGAAAAAGACAAAGTTTTATAGGGTATTAGACATGTTCTTTAAAAAAAAAGTATTAAAAATACTTTAACAAAAAAAAGTCAAACTGCATATGAAAACCACTAAAAGTTAGAGTACTGATTTTTATTATACATGTTTAATTTTTATAGCAAATGCATCTTTGCTGTGAGAGTTGAAGAAATTCACACTCTTAAGTTTTCTTCCCTGCCCTTCTTACCGATTTTTATTACCCATTTCCACATCAAGAATTTTATATTTTACATTATCAAAGGCTTATATTTTGTTCTGCAAACCACATTTTCTATCCTGTTTTTTTCTTCCATTAAAAAAAAACTTTATTAAGCCACAGCTCACATGTAAGATTCACCCTTTTAATGTGTACAATTCTGTGGTTTTTAACATATTTACAGACTTATACAACCATCACCACTAGTTTTAGAACTTTTTCATCAGCCCCCAAAGAAACCTGAGATTCATCAGCAGTCATTCCCCATTACCTCCTTCCCATACCCGCGGGCAACCACTAATCTACTTTTTGTCTTTCTGGATTTAACTATTCCAGACATTTCACACAAATGAAAGGATATAATCTATAGTCTTGTGTCTAACTTCTTTCACTTAGCATGTTTTCAGGGTTCATACATGTTGAACATGTACCTGGAACTTCATTCTTTTTCATTGCCAAGTAATAGTCTATTGTATGGATATAACACACTTTGTTTATATATTCATCAGTTGGATATTTGGGCTGTTTCTACTTTTTGGCTATTATGAATGCTGCTGCTATGAGCACTCATGTACAGGTTTTTGTTTGGACAGATACAGAAAATCTCTTGGGTATATAACTAGGGGCAGAATTCCTAGGTCATATAGTCATTTCAACTTTGTTTTAGCCTCAGTTTTGTATTTAAATGGATACAGTGCCTACCATCAGTCTTTTTCTCCACGGCTTTTCTTTCCATGCTTTTTCTTTTTATTTTAAATCAAGTTTTAGTTGTTTACATTTCACCGTCCATCTTCATAGTTTTTCAAGGACTTATATAGGTGCTATATTCCCTGACTTCTCGAGTTTTTCAGAATATTGTCTTTTGCATTTTTATTCAAAAAAAGACTTGAATAAATGCTATAAAATGTCACAGATTTTCATTCCTTCAAAAGTTTGTAAGTATTGTGCTATTATCATCCAGACTGAATGTTACTATAAAGAAGTCTGAAGCAGCCTAAATGTTTCCCTTTTAGATTACTTGCTTTTTGTGCCTAGATCCCTGAAGAATTCTTTCTTTATACTTTTTTTTTTTTTAAGAGACAAGGTCTTTGTCACGCCAGCTGGAGTACAGTGGCATGACCACAGCTCACTATAACCTCGAACTCCTGGGCTCAAGGGATCCTCCTGCCTCAGCCTCCTGAGTAGATAGGACTACACATGTGGGCCACCACATCTGGCTAATTTTTGAAAAAATGTTTTGTAGAGACAAAGTCTTACTCCTGCCCAGGCTGGTTTTGAACTCCTGGCCTCAAGCAATCCTCCCATCTTGGCCTCCCCAAAGTGCTGAGATTACAGGTGTGAACTACTGCATCTTTCTTTATACATGATGCTGTGTATATTTGAGTAGTGATTGGGCTTCCAGATCAGATGAAGATGCTATACCCCTGTATCTCTTTATAAAGCTAAGTAAACATATTATTACATTAAAGATATTTTTGACTCCTGAATCAGACTGCCAACTAGAACCTGTAACTGCAGCTTTGGTGCTGCAGATGTAATTTATAATAATATCAAAACACATTGCATAACTAGGAATAAATCTGACAAAGCTGTGAAAGACATAATACTAACAAAACTCCCAACAGATGTTGGGTACAAATTGGTAAGCTAATCCTGAACTTTATATGAAAATACAAGTGTCCAAGAAAAGCCAAGACAATCTTGAATAACAAGAAACCTGGAATTTTTATAGTACTAGGTATCAAGGCCTGCTACTAGCAAAGTTAGATAAAAAAGAATAGAACAGATAAAATTACAAGAACAAATTAACATTTATGACCACTTGATATACGACTCTGCAGTGTAGTAGATAAAGGATGGTCTTTTCAATAAAAGGTACTCAACCAACTGGATATTTTTATAGGAGAAAAATGAATCTGGACCCTAAACTCACACTCCTTACACAAAAATAAATTCCAGATGTACTACAAATCTAAATATAAAAGGTAAAATAATAAAACTTTCAGACATGGGAAAACATCTTCAATATCTTGGAGTGGCTATGATTTTTTAATAGGACATGACAAGGATTAACCACAAAAGCAAAAATTTGATAAATTAGGTAAGACTATACAGTCAGGAAGAAAGGATAAAATGTTATTTTTTAAAAGCTGATTTAAATAATAGATATAATATTGCTTTGTAAATAAGGGGCCATACAAAGGTTAGCTAATTTAATTTTATTAAACAAAAATAATGTACATAAAATGATCATCGATTTAAAACTTTTGGTTAAAAAATGATCTCAATCAGGATCCAATCAGAAAAGATAAACCACAGAGTAACTTAAATAGGAAAAGCTTACCAAAAGAATTATTAATTGTAACAGGGAATTGTAATACTAGGAGACCAGTTAATAAGAAATTTTTTAAAAAATCTCTACAGAATAAAGGATCAGCAAACGTAAGGAACAGCTACTACCCCTAAGGCTGAGATATTATAGAACACTAAAAAAAATGGCTTTCCTAGGGCTGAGGTGTAGACCTTATTGGAGAAGGCATGACATGGTTAACGAAATAGCAGAATAGTTGCTGTGGTGCCAACTTGCCGGAGCTTGCTGAAAATCTACCCCTTCAGAACTTGTTGGAAATCTGCCCTCTAGAATGCCAGAAAAGCTGATCACATAGAGGTATGGAGGAAGGTGTTGGGTGGGGGAAAGTGCTGACCACTAGGTGCCACTGACTGCTGTGTTCTGCAGTAGCCTGGACCTGGAGAATCTGATCAAACTTCAGAAGCTGGACATTGGGAAGCCTCATACACTGTAGGAGACAGAGGCTGTTTAAGCCACTTGGACTTCAAGAGTTGGCACCAAAGCCACTGCCAATCCAACACACCAGAACCAGGAAGGAAAATCTCTTCCTCTTGCAATGTCTCTCTAGTGCCCTCTACTGACAAAGTTTAACATCCTCTCGGCTGTCAAAGGAAAACATTTAAGGACTCGGGTCCATTTTTACCAAGCATGCCATATGAATGGTGAATTTGGAGCTGAGAGGTAAGAAATTGATAACTAGCACAATTATAAAACTATGCTTTCATCAATCATGGCTGGGCAAAACCATGGTTGGTGAAACCATGGTTTTTGTAGTTAGAAACCATGTGGTTCTCTAACCACAAAAATAAGAATGGGTGTTTAAGATTGTTAAATAATGGAATTTTTTTCTTCTTTTTTCTATACTTTCTACAATGTGGTTATATTGGGTTTAATTTAAAATTAAAGTATTAAAAAGATAAATGATAGAAAATAAAGGCTATTTTCCTTCTCGGAGAAAACACTGAATGGCAAATGATGCAGGTACGCCAGCAGGGCCCAGAGGCTCCGGCCAAGGCCTTGGAGCTCACAAAGGCAAAGCCAAGGACAAAAAGTGGATTCTGGTCACTAAGCTGGAATGCCTGGACAAGGACATGAAGCTCAAATCCCTGGAGGAGATCTATCTCTTTTCCCTGTCTGTCATGGAGTCTTGAGATCAATGGCTTTTTCTAGGGGGCACCTCTCAAGGATGAGGCTTTGAAGATTATGCTGGTGCAAAAGCAGACCCACACTGGACAGTGGACCAGATTAAAGATGTTTATTGCCATCAGAGACTACACTGGCCACATTGGTCTGGATGTTAAGTGCCCAAAAGAGGTACTCTACTGCCATCCCAAGGGACTGGTTAAGCTCTCCATTGTCTCTGTGTGGACAGGTTACTATAGGAACAAGATTGGCAAGCCTCACACTGCCCCTTACAAGGTGACAGGTTGTTGTGGCTCTGTGCTGATGCACCTTATCCCTGCCCCCAGAGGCACTGGCAACATCTTGGCCCCTGTGCCCAAGAAGCTGCTGCTGCTGCTGCTGCTGGCTGGTACTCCTACACCTCAGCAAGGGCTGTTCCACCACCCTGGGCAAATTTGCTGAGGCCACCCTCTGATGCCATCTCCAAGAAGTATAGCTATCTGACCCCTGACATCTGGAAAGAAACCATATTCACCAAGTCTCCCTACCAGGAATTCACTGATCATCTCCTCAAGACCCACACCAGAGTCTCCATGCCCAAGACCAAGGCTCTAGCTGTGGCTACAACATAGGGTTTTTATACAAGAAAAATAAAGTGAATTAAGCCTGTTTTAAAAGAAAATAAAGGCTAAACTGCTTCTACTTAGAAGAGTTTAATTTGGTTTGAGGTTAATTGTTCCCAGAAAATTCAATTAAAACACTTTCTTTTCTGAAAATAGAAACTAGAGATTCATTCATACCCTATACAATAGTGTACTAAATTAAAGAAAATTTTGTTTTCTAGAGGGGAGTCCTATTTGAATATAGATTGAAGGGATTTAAAAAATCTAAAAACTATGATATTTTTATACCCCAAACACATTGTCCTTATATAATACAAATTATAGGCAAGATTGATAATATTCCAGTAATTTCAAGATTTCTTAATAGGTTAACAGGTAAAAGTTATCTTTTGTCATGGGAAAATCAAATATCAAAAACAAAATCAAATATCAAAAGTATGGGAAAGAAAGTCAAGGGAAAAGGACAATTTGCAAAGTGTAAATTTAAGAGAACTCTGAATGAAGATACAGTAGGAAACAGTAGATGGAGCCAGTGTGCTCAGCAGTCTAAACAGTTCTACATTTGGCAGAATACACAGAGTCCTAAGGTCACTGGATAAACAATTTAGAGCTCAGTTGTATTTATAATTTTATATTCATCACTCAGTGAGAAGGATCAAAAAAGAAGCGTTAAATAGCGGAGATGAAAAAGTGATCTACACTGCTTCATTGCCACTGTGGAGAGCCTTCCTGCACAGTCAGCAAATAAGCTAGAGGAAAGCTGTATGTAACTGGTTTGAGCCTGAAACCAATCCAGCTAGCACTTTCCCCAAAGCAAATGCATTTTGCCAAATATTTTATGGATTATGTTCAAATATGCTAAATGTTCAAATAATGTTAAACATTCTCAGAACTTCAGAGACTTCATAGTTGAAAAAGATATCGAGATCATCTAAATTAATCTCCCCAACTAATAGCAGGCAACATCTTGTTCACATCTTCTACCACCTTCTAGTTGTGTGAACTTAGGCAATTATTTATGCTTAAACCTTAATTTCCTGACCAGTAAAATGAGAAAAAAACCAATAATATTTAAATAATGTAAAGTATTAAATATGATAAAAATAGTAAGTATGACTAAACAATATATGAAAAGATTATTTCTGACATGAGAAAAGATCTATAGGATATTACACAGGAACTTCCACAATCTTGCCATGTTAAGAATTAGGTGCCACCTGGGAATTGTCTTGGTGCTTGGACCAGCTCAAGAACAATCATCACAAGGGAGGAGGTTTGCCTTCTAATCCAGACCAGTAAGAAAGAAAGTTACAGGATACCAGAGTAAGTTCGCCCTACGTTTAAAAAAATCAACACATCAAATAAATGCATACATACCGTGTTTCCCCGAAAATAAGACTTACCCATAAAATAAGCCCTAGCAGGATTTCTAAGCATTTGCACAATATAAGCCCTACCCCGAAAATAAGACCTAGTGATGGGCATGGCTACGCAGTGTATCTGTCCAACCCATGCATTTCATCGCGGAGCGGTAAAGAAGACAAGCAGCCCTTTTCATCTGCCCCAGTGTGACAGCTACTATCCCTGAGGTGACTGGAAAGGTGTGGGCAGCCCCACCAACAAGGTCAGCTCCCCCTGTCAGGTCCTCGCCACCCTGTGCGTGCTAGAAGCTGAGGCTGTGAGGGGAAAATAACACATCCCCTGAAAATAAGCCCTAGGGTGTCTTCTTGAGGAAAAATAAATATAAGACCCTGTCTTATTTTCGGGGAAACATGATAGTACAGTATTAGGTATCCCTTTATGGTAGCTTTAACTTAAGACAGATATCAGAATAAAAATAGGAAACCAATACATGTGCACCTTACTTTAAAAAGTGATAAGCACAAATTCAGTTCAATTTGACAACCATTTATTAAGTATTTTCTATGAGCAAGGCACTGAATTAAGCCTGGTTCCTATCCTGAAAAAGTACATATACAATTTAGTAGGAAAGATAGGTAAACAACTAGCAAGGGAGGATGACAGGACCAAAGAACACACACATAACAGAAAAACAACAGGAGAGAGAGAGGAAACCCAAGATGGACATCAGTAAGAAGGAAATATGATAGGGATAAGACCACTGGGGCTTAGGGAACCCATTTCTGAGGCCGTGGGAGGAGATGGGGTGAAAGAATACTGCCTGAGCAGGAGCTGGAGATAAGGACAGAAGTTAACTGCCTAGTTGGGGGACATTCCAGCCATCTGGGACTACAGCAAAGCAGACTTCCACCTTAAAGCCCGAGGGGCCTCATGACTAAAAAGCCACAGAGCAGAGCGGCTTGACATGAAAGCCACCCAAGACTGTAAAGGAAGATTGCAAAATGTCAGCCCAGGAGAAGGGACTCCAGGCTCCAATTCTTAAAGAACACCAGGTTGAGTTCCTTCCCTCCCCTTTCTCAGTACAACACCTCAGTTAATGGGGAGCTAACCTCCCAAGAAAAAGTACTAATCTCTTTGTTCTTCAATCGAATGTGCCAGAGCTGCTGAGTTCAGAGATACTATCTGTACATACCTTTAAGGGGTAGTTGTGCTTTAGTAAGGAGCTATGTGTTCCTGCTTCTATAGACAAAAGAGTAATTAGCTAAGACATCTTGTGACTATTATGGGAGACTTGAAACTTCTCCAGGGGTCCTCAAACTTTTTAAACAGGGGGCCAGTTCACCGTCCCTCAGACCGTTGGAGGGCCGTTGGAGAGTGTGATGCACATTCCACACATGGGCACTGTGGGCCCAGGAGGAGCCGGCTGCTAAGTGGCATAGGCAGCAGCGGCAAAAACACTCGGCAGGCTGGATAAATGTCCTTGGCGGGCCGAATGGTCAGTGGGCCATAGTTTGAAGGCCCATTGTAACCCATGAGCTTTTCACGTGAAATCATTGTAATCTATAGCATGAAAAAGAGAAGAAAAACGGGTGCTAGATTTCAGTCAGTGTCGCCTGGCCCATGGGAATGCTGGTGGTCCCCTGATATCCCCGCACCCTTTCACCTTATTTTTTGTGTTCGTGCCTTTGTCTCTCCCATCTCTTGCAGCTCACATTGCCTGGGGACCTGGTCACAAACCTCCCATAGTAATACTTACTTTATCTTGAAAGAAAGATATGCAGGCTTTTTATCACTACTAATATAAGAGTCTTTCTATTCTCTCCAGGGTGTATATAGCAGCTTCAAAAAGTACTTAATTTATAAAAATTAGTTTTCCACATTATTTTTAAAAATACATTAATTTCACTTTATTGCACATAAGTTATTACTAAAAATATTTTTAAACCACATATTGTAAAAATGAAAATGTTCACATTAAATTCAAGATGGAATATATCTAAGGTTTGGGAAGAAAGGCTAAGTACATAATGGTAAAGATTAAAGAGAAGAACTTAGGAGCTCCATCATCAGTTACAGCTCAGGTAAACTCTGGCCTAACAAGATGCAAGTTAAATGGGAGAGGAAAGACTCAGCAAAAAGAGCATTATAGGTATATAATTGAAGAAGTTTTAGTGATGAGCACAGAACAGTGAGAAGGATTTTAAACAGATCAGCCTGATGAAGACCACATGAACCAGAAAAGAACAGGGAAGTAAGATGGTCTTGAACTCCCTGAAGAAATATTTGGTGAAATGAAGATTTTTGATTTATTCCAAAGGTCAAAAGGTAAAGTTTCAAAATCATGTTAAGAAATAATAAAGAGGCATTACTGAAATGACAAAATCTGAAAAAGATCATTTTGATAATCCTTAGTTCCTCTCCATTTTTATTGAAACTTTCCTTTCAGGGTCCAACTCAAATCCTATCTACATTAGATAAAGTTTTTCTTAATCATCTTACTGAAAATGACTGTTTCTCTTACAGCACTTACTGTTCTAACCTCTCACCTGGCACTTAGCACAGATTGGTTTGTGTAGACAGATCTCTTTTTACTACATTAGATCAGTAGAGATATTTATGTCTTACCTCCTCAGTCAGATTTCTTATGGACAGTGGTATTACATTCATACATGCATTCAATAGCAAATAGTCACTGAGCACTTACTACAAAAGGCACTATAATAAAAAAACATAGACTTCCCTCATGCAAAGTAAACTAGTACCAAATTTACAAAATAGACATCATTTTAGATGTGGCTCAATTATGATGTAATGAAGTCATTCTTTTCCCCAAAATTGATTTGATGTAACAGATTCATCCCTCACTCCAAACTAATTTCATTATAATTTTTCATTCTCTCTTCATTTACTTAAAATTGAAATGTATCAGTTAAAAAATCATGAATGTATAAGTTCTTCAAAATGTATTTTAAATTCATACTAAACTAATTTTAGTTAATAAAAATATAGACTATTTATTACTATTAAAATCTCACCAAGGTATGATACCTTCCATATTTTTGTGACTTATTTTCATTAAATTTTTTACAATGAGATAAAAATTTCCTAAATTGCCTTAAAATATGCAAAAAGTAGTTTTTTAAACTACTCATATAAAGCAGACACAAGAGGAAAAAAACTTTTTTTCTGACCACTGCAATGCTTCCAAGTTACTCTGATCAAGACTCTCAGGGACCCCCAATGATCAGTGATCTGAGTTCTATAACCTTTTAAAAAATAATGTATCGTTGTTATCTTTAATCTATACATAGAGATCATAGAGATCTATAATTTCTTTCTTTTTTTTGAAACAGAGTCTTACTCTGTCGCCCGGGCTAGAGTGCCATGGTGTTAGTGTAGCTCACAGCAACCTCAAACTCCTGGGCTCAGGTGATCCTCCTGCCTCAGCCTCCCGAGTAGCTGGGACTACAGGCATGCACTACCATGTTCGGCTAATTTTTTCTATATATTTTAGTTGGCCAACTAATTTCTTTCTATTTTTAGTAGAGATGGGGTCTCGGTCTTGCTCAGGCTGGTTTCCAACTCCTGACCTTGAGCAATACGCCCACCTTGGCCTCCCAGAGTGCTAGGATTACAGGTGTGAGCCACCAAGCCTGGCTGAGATCTATCATTTTAAAAAATGAT